GGGCAAGACCAGGATTCGGCCAATTTAGCTCCCTCCGCGCAGAAGGGCGTTGCTGCAGCGGGTTAGGCAGGGCAGGGGTCTTCCAGCGGGGGGAGCTAAGCGGCCACGGGCAGGAGGGTGTTGCGAAGGGAGGGTCCTAGGGCAGAGTGTGCACCCTCACGGCCCCAACTGCATCGCCCAGGCCCTCAGCTTGAACGTGTCTTTGTATTTTACAACTGATATTTTCCACTAAGTGTCCAAACTTATTTTGGCTTGTAAACACAGGTAGTCCTCACTGAATGACCCTCACAGGGACTTGAAATTCTGCCACTAAGTGATGCAACAGCTAAATCAGTGCCCACCATTGTGCTTTGTAGCTGGAAAGAAACCAGGCTAGCCAGCTCACCCCTCCTGCTCCCGTTTGCCTCCTAGCGCTCTGCCATTCAGAACAGGGGTCTCCAGCCTTGGCAACTTGACAGGCTGAGGAATTCTGGGAGTTGAAGTCCACGAGTCATAAAGTTGCCAAGGTTGGAGACCCCTGCTTTAGAAGGCACGGATGCCTGGTTGCTTTCTTGTACGCACTGAAAGCAGTGTGACCACGCTGTAGCTCGGGGCTGAAAGTTGCGGGCAGACCGCTTACAGCACTCTCTTGAAATCTCTTTCTCTCCATTCTGTTTTGCGGGATGGAAACGGAAAGGCTCAGGCAAAGGAGAGAATGCCTACAGAAATCAATTGCTTTTTTCTCTCCCCAGCACCAGACCACATGGATGGAAGAAAAAGATGCGAAGAGTACTGGAAGCTGTCTGCATAGCGTGCCTGTGGCTCCCAGTCCAGGCTGTGGTGCAATCACATTGCTTTGGATACCTAGCAAACAGCTTACTTTCTTGCAATCCCCTTTTCTCCAATCTTTCTGCTCTGCACGAGGGATTGTACCAATAAAGGAGAATATTTGTAGCTCAGGGGTGAAACGAGGGGGTCCTCCTTGGTGTTCTCTGAGCTGGGTGGTTTTCTTGCAGGTGTTTACATGACCCAACTAGGGACACCAGCAGTGCTAACATGAGTGAAGATGTTCCCAAGTTCGGCTAATGAAATGTCTAGGCCAGAGAAACTCCAAGGAACCCTCAGGGCTGGCGGGGGGGGGGTGTGATTTTTTTTTTTATAAAGCCAAAAACGCAGGTCAGGCAGAGGACGCCCCCTACAGACTGTAATGCCAAGGATACAGCGAGGACGGCAGAGGGCCATACGCGGACCGCAAAATTATGCTTTCAACGCCATCATAGCCGCGAACGGCCCCGGAGCAAAAGGTTGCTAAGCGAGGACCAGCCGCAAAGGAAGACCGAGGCCCCGCGCGGCAACCGCTGCAGCCTTCGGGGCGCCGCAGCCTCGTCCAGGCCTTCGGGGAGGGCGTGAAGACCCGGCGCGCCGGCCCGGAGGTGGAGGAGGGTCGAGCCCCCCGAGACAGCCCCGCTTCGGGACCAGCTCCTGCCCTGCATCGCTTGCGCTGCGCCGATCCTCGGCAGCCCCGCGGAGTCGGCCGGCGCCCGCGCCGCATCCTGAGCCGCGCGCCCCTGTCCCCGCCCGGCGCCGCCAGCTTACCGGGGGAGGGGGCGAGAGACCGGTGACCAAGCGGGGCGCGACTCGCAGGCCGAGACGAGCGCGGAGGGCCGCGCGAAGACGAGGCAGGAAACGGCCTTTCAGACGATCCCGCGCGGGAGCCCCCCCCCAGCCGGAGGCCGGCCCGGGCCCCCCT